GCGTGTGTGTGCTGTTGTCATACAGTAGCTCATACAAGCTTACTGTGTCCACATATAGTGGACTTTATAGCAATTTAGTTAAGTGACTGTTCGGACAGATGATCACTGCTTTTTTCTCTGTTGGTCATGTAACTCCTCCCCCTCCGCCATCTTTGTGATTAGTCACCACTGTGGGGTAGCGACAGCCTATGGCGACAGTGGGCCGCTGTGACAGCAAATCGCATAATGCTTTGTGCAAAGATATGTAAGCCTCCTCTGAGGCCTTTTTTTTTTCTTCTCATACACTTCGTAGACACTTTTTGCTCTTACAACCCTCAGCCATTTTCAAAGAAGCACGGTGAGAAAGGTGAGCTTCAGTGACTGTCTGAAAGCGTAGCTCGCCACAAATATGCGTCTGAAAGTGCGCATGCAGAGAAAAAGGTAGCTAACAGGACGAGCACGTAGGGCAGCCTTACGTAAACATATCACCAGAATGATCGACAATTAGACGGACCACTTATTTAGATGATCCACCAAGAAATAAAAGATTGTCCTCTATATCTTTAATAACACCCTAAAAGCTACCATCTCAACAGCACCGCATTGTTTTTGGCGTTTCTTTTAACATATAGGGAAACAATGAGATCTTGATTAAGGTTTGAGAAAAACTTATATTAAAGCTGAAAATAAATTATTCAAGTAGTTGTACGTCATATTTTCAAATGTTTATCTCAGATTTTATATCTTGTATTCACACTATGCATTCTAAAGTTATTTTGAGCCTGTTGCTTGTAGTCTAACTGCAGGTACATCCTTCCAGTTAAAATAAATTATAATGCCCAAGATGGTAAAATTCACAGAAAGCTGAAAGCACTAATGAGAAGGAGAACAGCAGAGACTAATTATAACTGATGTGACAAAAAGCAGTATTCTGATAGTATGTATTAATAATGTGAAAGATTTCACAGTTTTGGCTATATATGCTGCTGTCTCTCTCTTCATATTTTCTCTCTGTTTTAAGAGATCATTTTTGGAGTAACTTGCCATGTGGTGAATCAACAGATATAGGTAGATTACCCAAATATTTTACTGTAGTAGGAATACCACCAGTTCAATTTTGTTTTTTTAATAAAATTAAAGGAAAGGTAGTCATCCACTACATTTCTTAAGTGTAGATAGTGATAAGTACACATTGAGGTGTCAAAATAAAGGCATATTTAAAAGTGTTGAAAGCAACCTTAAACTAGTGGTGTTTCAGTGAACAGTTTAGCGTGATCAAAAAAAACCCCACAAAATTTTTTTTTTTTTTTTTTTTTTTTTTTTACATTTATTAAATTAAACCAGCGTTTGAGCTATTTTAGGAGTTTATTAAGGATATAAGAACCACTGCACCAACTACAAACCTGTTTTCTAAAATGAATTTAAAAAGATAAGTAGATTATCTTCACGTTTTTTTTTTTTTTTACATCTATAGACTGTTGTCAAGTCTTTTCTTAAAAGCAGAACACTGGCTAATTGTCATTTAAACCACACATTCATGCTGATGCATATTCCACAGAAATTAAGGATATTATTAAAATCCCTTTATCATCTAGAGGTAAGAAATATTCACTTATATTCCTAGTTTAACTAATTTGCTCTCTAAACAAAGTTCATGTGGAGAATGCCATAGATTATATTTTTCAACCCATCAATAACCTTTACTGTGATCAACATTGGCTGATCGCACCGAAGAAAGAAAAAAACAAATCCAACTAGAGGTTGCAGCATTTTAACACAACACAAAGCACATATAGCTTTATACAATGTAAATATTTCATAAAATTAGAGACTTAACTGTATTTACCTTCATACAGACATTTGCGGTATGTCTGCTTTCGATGTTGGCCGTAGGCCTTTTTAGTAATTTTCAAGACATCCTTTTAGGTTTTGGGGATTAAATAAACTTTATTCCACCCTGTAAATGACCTGGATAACTTGTCTAACTTGCATGTTCCCAATTACAGCATTTAACCATTTTTCTTTCATGATATTTTTATCAAAAATCCTATACCTGCAAAGCCAAGTGCCAATCTGCAGCCTCGTTCTTAAGGCTCTGAGTTATTTTGTTAAGTGAAACATGTATTTTAAGTTTTTATGGCAAAATTAGTATAAAATATATTGCAGCCATGGTCATTAAAATATTCGTTTTGCAAGTTTATAACCAGTTTTTTAATATAGGTGTTATATTCTAAAGATGGTTTTCTTTTAAACAACAGTATGCACCAATGTTTTGCACAGACAAAGGTCATGGTTAACCCAAACCAGAACAAAATGGGGCAAAGCTCAATCAAGAGAGAAATATATAGCATTGCTAACATAGCCAAACCAACGCTCATTGCCGACATCACTGATAGATGAAGAGGGGAAACTAGTTTTATCTCTTCCTTTTTTTTGGTTTTGTTTCCTTTTTATAATCTCAGTGCAAAACACCCCTTTGTTCTGTAAAATAAAGTCAAACAACAAACAGGCTATAAGCTAGAATATGAATACAGCCAGCAGATAATTTGAATGTGCATATAGATGCCAATGCAGTAGAAAAAGCTTTAACTATTTCTCTTCCTTTTCTGCACAATTACAGTCCATATAAATAATCCCTAATTAGATATTTTAATATCTCTTTAGTCTACAAACTAAATTGGCATGGCTTGTTCGCCAAAAATTAGGATTGTGTCTAAGTTAAATTGAGTTTTATTGATTTTTTTTTTGTTCTCAGTGAGGTGTCGGGATCTGCTGGAGAGCTTGACTCTGAGCTCCCCAAGGAAGAAGAAGAAGGTGATGATTCACCATTATGTGACCCAGAGGAGATGGATCTCCTTGGGGAGATCTTTGACACACTTAGTTCACGCAGCTCCCATGACCGAGGCCTGCTGTATGGGACTCGCAGCCTGGATTTGTTTGGACCAGACAGCCATGATTACATCATAAAGGTAAAACAATAGTCGATCAACACTCCCAAACATCTACATTGAAATCAGATATAATTCTCCCTCATTTGCTTCTTTGTCAGCGTGGTACAGCCAACCCCAGCCAGGAGAGCCTGTCCCTTTCCATCAGCGGCAGCGGCAGCTTGCACAGCTGGAATCTGGAGACCACAGAGGAGCTTTCTGATCAGATAGAGGACACAGAATGGCATTGTCTGGACACCAGCTTGGCAGAAGAGGAGGGGGCAGAATGTCCTCTGGTGGCAACTGATGTTGACGAACATGAAGCAAGACAGAAGGAGGACAGAGGAAAAGAGAAAGAAGCAAATGGAGAACTAAATGGGAAACAGGAAATAAACAACATAAATAACTTTGAGGAAATTAAGGTAGAAGAGGAGGAAAGTAAGGAAAAACAAGAAAATATGGCGAGATTTGATGAAAGTAGTGTTGAAGAAATAACTGAAGGGTTGCAAGATAAAAGGATAGAGGATTCAAGGAAAGACGATGAAATCCAAAGTAAGTTGGTAGCACTAGTACAAGAGGAGGAAGAGGAAAAAAAAGATGTGCAAGAGAATGAGACAAAAGAAGAAGCGAAAGAAATCCAAGAAGGAAAGAATATTGTTTCTAAAGAAACAAACTCAAAGTGTATAAACAGGAATGACCCACTTTCACACTCGGTGGAAGAGCTGCAAAATGAAGCTGCAGTCCCTCCATCGCCTAGTAATAATGCTGCAAACCCCAAACATTCTGCATCTCACGACGAAAACATTGATAAAACCCCAAAGAAAGAGGATGGGACGCGCCTGACCTCACCTCCTCCCAAAGTGCACTCTGCTGTCGCACGCTTCCAGGCTCAGCAATGCAGCCAGCAAGGATTTCAGCGAAGGACCATTTCTAAGAACTCCGTTGAGGTTCCTCTCCGTTGCAGGGAAAAGGTACAGACTCTATATGACGTAAACACAAACAAAAACATAGAGGCGCCTGAGGAGGAGGAGGAACGCCCTCTGGTCAAAGTGTCTGAACTAAAGAAGAGATTTGAGGCTTAATGTATGTAACACCAAAGGCTTCATCCATCCACGGTCCTCTTTATCCGAGACCAGTTGATGGTGTTACACCAGCCTCCATTTCGCAGGTATTCCAGTTTGGTCCTTGAGAAGAAGAGATACATAGCATTTCCTGTGAATTCTGGTTCGGTTGGTCTTATGTTAATCCCTATTGGAACTCTTCCTCAGGACTCAAGACATATTGCTTTATTGAAGACACACACGCATGCAAAAACAATTTTTGGTTCTCAAGTGACCCTAAATCAAACTAAAGCACCAGCAGACTAAAAAACCCAAAGCAGGTTGTTTTATTTATGTTCATTTTAAAATTGTTTTTTTTCTAAGGGTAGAAGTTGCTGGTTTCAATGGTAGCAGCTGATACTAGTGTGCTGGAAGAGAGACATATCTGACAGTAAGGATGGTGTGTATAATATGGTTACAGTTGAGATTTTTGTTCTGGTTCTTTCAACTTACTAAAGATATTCTTACCTGTAATAATATACATTGGTATAAATGCTGCAAATTTGCAGAAAAGTCAATAATACAGATTTTTGAAATGACCTGTTGTCAAATAGTGGATGCAACACTATTTTGTCAAGGAATTGTGCATTTTCATAATACCTTATGGTTTGTCACAGTTTTCTCAGATGAATACTTCTGTGTAAAAATGGAGGTTTTGGGTTAGTATGCATGTCAAAATACAATTTCCATGACACTGTACAAATGATAGCCTGAGCAAAATAGAAAATTTAGTTGAACTTTTGCAAAGATGGAAAAGTCTTGCCTACCTGCCTAAAGCGATATAATTTTGTAAAGAAACACCAGGTGAACCTCTGTTGAATATCTTAAAAGTGACCCAATGATTAAAAAACAAAAACAAAACCAAAGCATTTATATTTTATTTTTCAAAGTCAGTGCTGCTTAGACAGGGTTAGTGTTCGTTTTTAATCAGAATTCATTCTGCTCTGCTGGGTGGAGAGATGGATCATCAGCCCTCAATGATACTTCCACTTCCTCACTTCTACTTCCTCACTATTCCGCACTGAACGACTGAATGGATAAGCTGCAACTCTTAGATGCTGTACATTTAGGCCAGCTGAGTTGTGGTCAGTTGGAAGTTTTTATTTTAAGTCAGTTTATTTAGGGTTGCTGTAACATGGATGTTGCTGCACTGTCAAAACTGTGACTTGACTTGGTATGCACTATTGTTGCATTCTAAAAAAAATCTTATTTTTAAATCACATTTTACAACAGGTAAGGGATTTTTAGTGATAACTTAAAGTCCAAAGTATCCATTTAAAAGGCAGCCATGTTGCATTCTGTCTAAACTTAAATGGACACTTTAATCCATGCTAATTTTATTATGTAGCCCGTTAGATTCCTTCCAGCACAAACTGACATTTTTAGGAAATGCATTTACATTTTTTGTAGATTAACAGAATTTCAATAAAAAGCTTTAATAAACTTGTCTTTTGAAACGTTTTCCAATAAAAAGAGTGGGAATCTTTCATTTGCATACAGACATTTTAATCAGACACCTTACCCACCATTGTGTGCACACTACCTAATAACCAAGTCTTTGAACACGTATTAAAAAAGTGCAATTCCGTTAGGCTTTTATGTCATCATTCTTCTACAAATATACAAAAAGTAAGAAAATATATTATTGTGCATTTAAATACAAAATACACTATAACTTATAGCAATGCAGTAGAAAAAGTGATGGTTTAAATAGTAAAATTGACGGCAAACCTTCCATTCTCCGATTGATCAGTTCATTTTTTCTCAACGAGAACAGAAAAAAAAAATACCACCAAGTATGTTTACATGATCAGCAATCCTTTTGGTGTACAAATGCAGCCTAGTAACACCAAGGCTGCTCAATCTATGTCTCTTTATATTAGACGCTCTTCTTTGGGTAACGGTAAAGGCAGGCTGGGCCTCTCGGGTACGGTGGCTCTAGATTGTTTCTTCTCCTCTGCACTGGGTCTGTACTTCCCCTCCATCCTTCTTTTCTTCCGTATGACACACAACAAGAGCAGCAAGGACAAAGTGAGCAGGGAAAACAGGCTGAAGACAGACGCTGACATCGCAGGTGGGAACCACTCCTGCCTTGTGTAACACCTGGGAAGAGAAATCACATGAAGGTCAAACAGACATGCTGGCAAAACACAAGAGGACTATCTTATTTAAAAACAGTGTTAAATTTCACAATTGCTTGTAGGTTTTATGGGTAACAGCACTCTAAGCAAAACAAGCCAAAACCAATTCCTTAGCATTTTTGAGTCCTTATAGATGGTTAAGCTTTTGTTGCACTTACTTTCAATGTAGTAACACAAAGACAGTGGTCATCAAGGTATTTCAATAAGTTGCACTTTCATTTTGTTTCAGCTTTTTGGTACAAAAAAGGTTTAACACCAGAATTATCCACCTTTAGATGTTCTTTTTTTTTTTAGCTTTGGTAAGCAATTCCCCCATTCTTTATCAGTTTACAGAACAGAGGCATGGTTATACACTCCTTTTTAAAAGCATTGTTAGTATCGCCTTGTAGCTCCAGAACTATGTAGCTTTTTTATGGCATAAATGCAACAATGAGATTGGAAACAATCTTGGAATTGGGTCCATATTGTTATAACAGCTTCACATAGTCGCTCCAGTTTGTCAGGTACACATCCGGGATTTGAATCTCCCATTCCACCACATTACAGGTGGGCTAATTTGGATTGAGATATTGTGACTGTGGAAGCCATTAGTGCACAAAAATAATAATAATATCTAGGAAACCTTTGCAAGACTATCAAGCTCGAAGATTTGGTGCATAGATCTAGAAATTCCAGCATAGGAACCCTGTGTTCATAAAGGTAAGCTGGCTGTATTATTATAGCCATGCTCAGTCTGCATAACGAAGCTAAAGAATGCCAGGAATATACCCCCCCCCCCTCACCATTGCACCCCATACTAAATTGTTCATATGAAGCCAATGGAGGTCATGCTTTTATGTTTTCAATCACAATTTGATTCTACTACCTGAATGTGACTGCTCAAATAAAGACCCGTCACCTGTAGCCTGAGTTTCCTGTTTTTAGCTGACAGGCAGTGCACGTTGTGTGGTCTGAAACTGCAGCAGCCCATATAATTCCAGGTTTACTATGCTGTACATTCAGAGATGGCATTCCTTATTCCACTGGAGTAAATAGTAGTTAGTTGAACTACTACCATCTATATCATTTTCAACATTATCTGGGCCGAGAGGCCCTGAACGATACCAGTTTATATAGACCTACTGTTTCTAGTGCAGCCATGTTTCCCGTAGAATGAGAACAGTTTGAGTTTCCGTTGGTATTAGCATTTCAGATGATATGTTACATGTAGATTGAACTTTAACAACTATGGTCAGCATTTAGACTTGCTCCAACACGTTACAGATGCCTGTTGGAGACAGAGGCGGTTTTTCTAACAACCCCATGACAGAGCTTAACGTTCAAGCAAGACGAATTAACTCACAAACTCCTGAGAATACATTTTGGTAGAAGCAAACGGATAACAGCGTTAGCCTCAATACAGTAATGTTTTAGACCAATGAAATGCAGTGATGCACATGACATCGATGCATGCACTGGTTTTAGCTAAAATACCCTTTATTTCTTTTTGAAAAAAACAAATGATTTGGTAAGAGTTTGATGAAGAATTGTACTGAATGTCCCTCCCTTTAGCAAACAACTTTCCACAGGAGCCTCTCCAATTGCACACTTTTACTGCCAAGTAACATTTCAGCATCGTCTGCAGTTTTCATTGACTACAGAGAGCAGTGCAGCTCACTGTAACCAATTGGCTTTATACACTAGCAGGTTTCACAGCAAAACAGACAGGAGCTGACAGTGGAGGTTATTTTGAAATTCAGTAAAATTTGGCATTTCATTATATCTAAATTCTTTTTAAACTCTGATTAGAAAAGCTAAGTCATGTGGTTCACATTGCTTAAAAATGTTTTTCATTCTTTCTGAAGATGCTGCTGTTTTATTTTGCAATGGCAGTGAACCAGGATAAATTACATTTAAAACCATTTTAAATGCTTGTATTTATGCTTTTGATCAACTGTATGAACAGAATTTGTTACAGCATTAAAGTTCAGAAAATGCTATCCAAGTCTGCACATATAGTCATTTATTTGTAAACTAAACCAGACCCATTTTGATTTTCGTGCACCAACTTCCTGCCTGAATGATCTGCTCCTCTCCAGGTTGGCTTACTGTCAAAGTCGCTGCTATCAGTACACTGCTGCATGCACCGCGTTCAAATCCAGTGAAACCGAGGGGCCGTACATCCAAGCGTAAAGCCAGTTAGCAGAAACAAAGAAGCCAATTTTGGGCTTTAAATGTGGTTTGCCACAATTAATCAAAAAAGCATAAAACAGGTAAATTGGTACAGAAGTAACTTCATACAAACAAAATTATTTTTATTAGCAGATTTCGAAACCTCTGTCCAGCTATGTTTAATTAAACAAAACAGGTCTAGCTTACCTTAGTGGGGAATTTATCAGACCTGTGCTGCCTTCAGTTTTGCATCTGGACAAAAACAGCATCAGAGGATGACTTGACTTAGCAGCACACCTGAAGGTAGAAAATAAATAAGATCAATATGAACAGTTCTTGGAAATGGGGGGGAAAAAATAGTTTAAAAACTAAGAATACTAACAATATTTTTATTGAATAATCCAATTTATGTGATGTTCAGAAGCATTTAAGTGAAATAAACAGCAAGAAAAGGTGTTTTAGTGAATGAAAAAGGATGACATCACAAAAAGACAGATGAAAGGGATTGTTATAGACTTATTTATATCAGTCTATACAATTTTTTACAATCTGGCAGTTGCAGATTTTTCAGTAACCAGTTAAAGAAAATAGAAAAATAAAATCAGAAAACTTTCTAAATCAAATTATCTGCAGCTAGATCAGATTCAAAAAGTAAAAATCATCCCCACTTTAAGAGGAAGTGAGCAGAAGAAAGAAATTATCACCTAAATAGCAAATGATCATGTCAAGTCGTCATGACTCAATCAAGAATCATAACAATTTGATTTATTGACATATAAAGTAGCATTGCAACCTCCAAAGGAAATCGCAGTGTGACAGATTGGCTTTTTGTCTAAGTATCTGAGGGGGTAAAAGACAGAAAAGCATCTTTAAATTTAAAAAGCTTGTAGTGTTTTGTGCAATGATGCATTTGTTTAAGCTGTTGTTGTGATCTTCAGAAGAATGCTTTTACAAAAACATAAGCAGTCAGACTCCAACACAAACAGTAGCTCAAAAAGCAAAAACAAGACTAAACCATTTTGCGATCAGGTAAACCACAAATACAAGAAAAGAAAAAAATGGGAGGAGTGTTGTAATAATAGGTAAACATCTTTGCAAAATAACTTCCAACCACTTGCAAATCTTTTCCGTTTTTGGTTTCCTACGCTTTGAAAAAGTGTAGAAAAATTGGCTGCATGTTTCAGATTCATGGAAAGACGTCAGGATTTCTATATATGATGCTGAATATATATCATCATCGCAACATCATGGTTTGCAACAATCACAAAATTTATTGGATACAATGTTTCATAGGTCACTACACAGGCAATGTGGGGGCATTATGAGGATACACAAGAAACATAATTCAAAGTCATTTTTTAGACTGGTATTGTTCTAAACTTTTCAAATTTTTTTTTTTTTTTTGCTATTCTAAATAAGGCCCAAAGTCAATTTCTAGTTGCCATTTAAAAAACAGCTCTGCCTTATCACCGTAGAGTTCTTTTGTCTTTTCCATGTAGAAAATATCACTTTATTACACATTTACAGTTAATTACAACGGCTCCGATAATA